GATGTGTAAAAACACTGAAACACTCAGATTCACAAGATCTCTGATCAGAGGGAGCTGGGAAGGCAGCCTAGAGTAGTGAGAGCCTGGGCACAACCAGCCCTTGCATGGAAGAATTTGTTCTGTATCATAGAAAGACGATTTTTATTATTATTTTTCTTCCTGTTCTTTGTTCCTTTTCTTTCTAAATCCCTCCAGGAAACACCAGGAGTTGTGTATTAAGGGCTGCAGATGTCAAAGAATGCTCTCTGGTGCATTTAACAGCTTCTTTATCACTTCTGAAAGGACCTGGGGTCAGCAGTCCAGACTTGATATCTTCAAATGTTTTTTAAAAGCAACATTTCAGTCCAAGTATTCTTAACTCAGCGTAAGCACTGCATGCCTTAAAGCATAGATTTCTTTTTATACAGTGAGTTAAAAGCCAGGAAATCAATGAAATAAAATAAATACACCTGACTATGATCTCCCCTGCTGTATGAGCTTATTTCAAGGATGCCAGAACTGCATTCACCCAAAAGCTGGGAAGAAGCCCAGAGATGAAACAGCTTCAGCTTTAACTCTGGAGTGTTGATTCTTGCTTCAAGCTCTGCGTAGTGAAGAACTAGAAAGAGGTGAATGTGTTGAGGCCAGTTTTCCAAAGGAGGTTTCGGTGATGAGAAGAGGGAGTGTGGAGGAGTAAGGAGGGTGAATGAGGAGAAACTGGAGTAAAGAGAGTGAGCAGGCACTTGAGTGAGCAGAGTGGGGAAAAGGCAGCTCTGGGTCTTGAAAGAGAAGCTCTGCCTCAGGAATAGATTGGAGCTCTCTCAAGGTAGAGCAATATAATTCCAGCAGTTTGTTTGGATTATCAGAAAGCAGTCAAGGTCCTCCAACAGCTAATTTTCCATGAGCCCTGAGCAGAGGTCATCAGACAAATATATAATTGATTAAAAATTTAAAAAACAAAGTGTGGGGGCAAATAGCCAGTTTTCAGAGGAAACAATCACCTGTGGTGTCCAACCACCCAGCAGCTTCCTAAGTGAGCAGGGGAAAAAGGAGTGAAGGGGAAAATGTCGAAGTTTTATGATGATGCAGAGATTCTGGAGAGTGAAGTCCAACAGAAACATTAAACTTGTTTGCTTCTTGATCCTGATAATATCTGAGCCTCTGCACTCCCAGCAGCAAACGCTCCTCTGTGCTCACACAGACCATGCCAGGCCCTTGCCATGCAGTAAATGTGCTTACAAAGGCCAAGCCCTTGCCATTAATCAGCTGGCATCAAACAGCCAGGTGGGTCCCTGCCCTGTGCCCTGGGCATGGCAGTGGGGCTGCCAAGGCTCAGCCATGCCAGGAGCAGCTCGTGGGAAGGTCTGGTAATGAAGGTTTGAAGGGAAAATGCTTCAGACTGCTGGGCAGAGGTGGCACAGGTAGCAAAGACAAAACTCTGCCCTTCCTTTCTGCCCCAGTGAAGTTCTGTCAGCTCCCACTGCTCTCCACGCACAACTGAGGGATTTCTGTGGGCTGTGCTGAGAGGAGGAGGCACAGCCAGATGTTGCACTGGCACAGAGTCCTGGACCATCACTTGGATAATGGCCCAAGGGGACAGGAGCCCAGCCAAGGCCAGCACAGGTCACCCAGAGCCTCTTTGCAAAAAGCTGTGGGATATCTAATTGCAGTCATTAGTGAACTGAGTCACACACTGCTAATGCAGGCTGGCAGAAGGAGCTTCAAGCCACCAAAATCCTGGAATGTTTTGCTTGCACTTAACACTGGAGGTGTTTAAATGCTCTCAAGAACCATCCTCCCCTGCAGCAGGTGCCCAGCCTCTCCCATTTGTGTCACTATCATATTTTCTGAAAAATCTCTTTGCCCAGGATTCTTCTCCTGGGAAGCTAAGAGGCCTCAGACAAAAAAATGTAAATAATAATAATAATAATAATAATAATAATAATAATAATAGTAATAATAATAATAATCTGATTTTCTTCTCTTGTTTTTCTGCTTTGGAATGTAGCAGGTGATTGTTTCCTTGGTTTCATGTGAATTGTTTTTACTTAATGACCAATCACTGTGTCAAGGAGAGGGTCACGAGTTTTCATGATCATTCTTGTTAAGCCTTCTGTCTAGAACCCCAGAAACTCCCACACATTTGGGTTGAACACAGCAAACTTGCAGAGTGGGAAGAGCTTCAAGGCTCCTACTGCTGACTTCTGCACTGAGTGGAGCTTTTTTTAACCTTTGGGGTGTTTTTTTCATTTTCCAGGTGTTTGTATATTTTGACCAGTCTGGAAAACGAGGAATGCTGTTCCCTTTGTCTCACCAATAAAACAGCTTTGGCGCGCCTCCCGAAATGCAAAACTCAATCCCCAAAACCCAAACCCCTTCCCATCTTCAGCCATGTGAAGCACCCAAAGGCAGTTCCCAGCCCACAGGGAGCAATCTGCTTTAAATTTAAGGACCTCCAATCGTGCAGCACTGGTACAATAAAAATGTACCACCAGGGTATTTTGTGCTGCAGCTTTGTGTTGCTTTCATGAAATGTCTTGGTGGTGATTTTTTGTGGCTGCTGCCACAAGTTTTTCAGTGCCTTGGCTGGGAAGTCAGCAGAGAGAATTAAATATTTGCAGTGAGTCCAGCAAGATGCTGTGTCCTTGAGTGAGGTGAGAGGAGCTTTGAAGCATACCAAGGGCTTGAGGAATAAGAGGGAAATGATCTCGGGGCACTGTCAGAGCAGCTCAGCACGGGTGAGAGCAGGCAGGGTGGGAGCAGCACAGCTGGGGCAGGTCAGGGTTTCCCTTGGTGTGGCCTCGGCCACCACAGTGATGCAAACTCCAAATAAACTGAGTTGTACCAGAGCAGTCAGTCTTAGAGGCACAAGGGCATTGCCTGGGCTGCAGATGGGCTTGGCTGCACCCCCTTCCCACACCTGGGCTGGGGTGAGCCCTCAGCAGCCCCAAGCCCACCCTCAGCCCCTTCCCACTGAGTGGAGCAGCACCTGGGAACAAAAAAGCCTCCATCAGGTAAAGTGGTACTTTGGTCCAAAGCAAGGCGAAGAAAAGCACTTTGAGACAATCAAGCACGCTTTCCAACTGTGGAACCAGGCACCTGCTCAGTCTTCCCACTGCTTTTGACCAGGGAATTAAGGCATTTATTCCACATTAGAGCCATTTCCAGAGGAATTTCCCTCTGACACAAAATGCCAGCAGCCACTTCCCTCAGAAGGAGGGTTTTCAAAATGCAGGAGCAAACAATGGTGGGGAGGGACAGTGGGCAGGGGAGTGCTGCACCCTGAGAGAAGGGACATGAAAGAAGGAACCCCCAGAGAGTGTGGCACAGGTGGAGTGCTGCTCACTTCAGCCAGCACCCTCCAGCCTGTTCCTACATCAGAAGTTCCAAAACACCTCAGTGCCACCTCCCCTGTGCCCTGCAGGGTCCTGCTGCTGCCCAGACCTTGTGCTGGTGACACAAATGTCCCCGCAGAGAGGGGCTGGCACGGAGGAGGCATCTTCTCCCTGCTCTTCATCCCAGGAAGCACCCCATGGAGGGCAAAATGCTTTATTAAACAACTGGCACGTACTTTTTGAGCCTTTTAAGTAACGCCTGTCATGTTTGGCACTGCTTTTAGCTGTGAGTCTTTCTCTTTCAAGGCCCCTGCGCGGAGCTGTTCCCACCTGCCTCGGCAGGGAGCTCACAGCAGTGCACGGGGCACAGCAGGTTCATGAGCAAATCCCTGAGGAGAGAGACTCAGCTGCTGGATTTTGAGGAGAGGAAATGTTGGATCGGGCCCTTTTCTGACCCAGAGATGGGGTAACTGAGGGGTGTTTTAAAAACTTTTATTCGGTTTTCAGTGTCATGTAAAGGGTGAGACAATACAGATTTATAATTCATGGATTTCGTGGAAGCCAATTATTTCCTCATTACAATACATTATAAGTGTTTATTATTAGTTTTTATTACACTATGCTATAAATACCTTAAAACTAATCATCTAAAATTACCCCTCACAAGTTCTACTACAAGACATCTTTCATAGCTCTATTCCTCCAAAGTATTTGTTTTATTTACTCTGTGTTTGAGTATGTGATAAATGAGCAATGAAATGGTTGACTTTCACAATTATAGGGCAAATATGATGTATATATGTTAAGAGACGTTTTATAGGTTTATAGTTGTGTTTTACCCCCCCCTTGTGTTGTTATCATGGGGAGACCTGAGTTGGGGATATTTGGGAGGGTTGGTTTGTCACTATGGCAACAGCTGACCTCCAATCAAGATTTAAGGAAGTGAACTCCACAACTGGACAGCAGAGAAGGGGTCGATGGACAGAACTTTGGGAGGGGCTAAAGAGTAAAAAGGCAGAACATCCATTGTGTGGATGGGCACTTGGTGGGGAAAATCCATGGTTTTTTTCTCTGTTGTCTTCTGTTGTAATTTTTGATACGGTTTTAATAAACCTTTTCAAACTGTTTGAAAGTGAGTATAATTTCTCACAAGTATCACCCAGCCCCCGAACAACTTCTGTAATATTTTGTTACCGCCAGCCTGAAATGCCTCAGATGCTGTGGCGTGTGACCTCACTGCACAGATTCATCTGTTAACACGCCATCCAATCCGAATAAACTTCTGCTTCGCTTTGGAATCGATCTCCAAATCAAGGAGCTCTGCTGCTTCCCTGGGCAGCCCACCCTCCCGCAGGAATGTGGGATTTTAACCCTCCCTGGCCCACTCTCCTTCCCCTGCCGTGCTGGGGCAGCATCAGCAATCAGGAATTCTGGAATTCAGGAATTCGGGAATTCAGAAATTCTCCCTCTCCGTGTGCTTTGCCTTCCACCGCTCCTGGGATGGAACAACCCCAACCTCTGTGATGCCCAGAGCGGGGCAGGGGAGGCGAGCCACGCTTATCAAACCCTGCTGCTTTAAACAGGCTGCAGCAAAGCCACGCTATGCCTAACGTCACCGGGGAGCAAAAATAGCCGGCACGAGTGGAGGGAGGGCAATGAGAGTATTAAGAGCGCCCAGATTTCAAACATACTTGGCTGGCAGCACGCTCCCTTCCTGCCCCTGCCGCTCCAGATGCGACAGAGCACTGGGATCTCTCACTCTCCTCTGCCCATGAAGAAGGATTCTCTTCCTTTTTTTTTTTTCTCTTTTTCTGTTTTTCTTTCTCTAAATTTCAGCTTCGATGCTACTAGATACATTTTTTTTTTAATTTATTATTTTCTTTCTTGTAGGAAACTTCATCTGCCGGATTTAAAAGCAAGGTTTGAGCAGAAGAAATTCATTTCTGTTTACAGCTGTAAATATGCACGGTACTCCTGTGGGATGATATCGTAGAGGGAAAGGCAAGATTGGCTGGGAAAATCGCCTGGACCGTAAGATGTTTGAATGGCTGCTTGGAATAACGAGCTCTCTGTTGCGTGTGCATGCGTGTGTGTGTGTTTGTGTATGAGAGCAGCAGTGATGGGAACTTTAAAATGATGCAAGGGCTCCCCATTTGGCTTGATTTTCCTCTTCTAGCTCTGTCAGGATATGGGTGAAGTGTCTGAATGGAATTGGTGCTGTAGGAATTTTATGAATGGAGCAGAAGGCAGGTTCAGCCGAAGAGGAGCAGAGCAGGGAGATGCAGTGGGCTCGGCTCTCTCCAGCAGGAGCTGTCACTCCAGGGAACTGCACAGACAGGCACCAGCATGGCACAAATCTGCTACAAGTCCCTGGGACACCAGATGAGGCAGCTGCAAGGAGGCAGCACCTGAACCATGGAAATATGCTCCTGAAAATGAGCTACCACCAGCACACCAAGCTGAGAGCTGTGTGTGGGACCAGCTCCGGGCTCAGCTGGAGCATCCCATGCAGAGCTGCTCATTTCTGTGCCCTCCTACTGGTTGTGAGGCTGAGGAGCAGCCACAGCTCCCAGGGCAGCTGTGTCTCCTTCATGGGAGTCACTGTCACTGCCAGCTCGGACAGCAGCATCGATAAAAGGGACAACGAGGCAGCGGAACAGACTGGCTACACCTGCCCTACAGCAGGAGGGCACTGCACAGCACTGCAGGAGCAGGATGAGGCAGATTTGGGGCTGCAAGGTGTCCAGGAAATGGATCTTGATGCTGGTGAAGCTGTGGGGACCAGCCCAGAGCAGCACTGTCCTGGAGGAGCACTGAGCACTGCAGGACCACGCTTGTCTCTCACTGTACTTGAGGGACTGGGGTGGGAGATGGTCTCTGTGTGTTTCTCTGGGTTTTTTGTACTTTTATCCCAACTGCTAAGTGAGGGAAAATCTCCCTCTGCACTGGATTGTCTTCTCTTATCCAGAGTGTTTTCTGACACCTCTGCAGGTGGTAATGGGGAGAAGGTGAGGGAAGTCATGAAGAGGATGAAAACTGTCCATCTTCAAGGGCCACAGAGGTCACTGACAGGGTGACACAAGGGCAGCAGGGGAGGGCCTGGGACTCACTGACAGGGTGACACAAGGGCAGCAGGGGAGGGCCTGGGACTGTAATGCTCCTGCCAAGGAGATAGTGGGAGGAAAGAGGCAAAGGAGTCAGAGCTGGTGAGGAGGGGAAGGGACACCTAACTCACTGGGAAACCTTGCAAACTCCCAGGATTAAACCAGTCCAGCCTACCCAGTGGAACAAGGCAGAGGGGAGTCTGTGCCTGCTGAGCCCTAGAGGACAAGGCAGTCCAGCACCCCTCCCCCTCAGCATTTTCCAAAGAAAAAGAGACAGTCTGAGTGCTGTAAAACACGTAATGCAAATGCACTTCTGTATGCAGTGACCTTTAGGATGGCACAGGCTTCTGGTATGCCTTAAAATCTGGGCATTTTAGCTACTTCTTCAGCATTTCTCTGAGGAAGGTTTGCTCTCCTTTTGCCTACACCCAGAATGAATTCAGAGCAACACAACCCTGATTTGTGCAGCACTGAGTCTGAGCTAAGCAGAGGCTCCCATGCACAGAGCTGCCTCACATGTTGTCTCACACCTTGCTGCTCAAAGCTGTTCAGGCAGGTTCACACCCAGCTCTGGCTGAAACAGATCTGTTTTACAGACACATGGACATCTCTGGTGTCACACTGGACAGAGAGAGTGAAAACCCCTGTGTTTACAGACACAGAAGTCCCACAGGGAATCTGCACTTTGCTTTATGAAGTGCCTTTTTCTCCATCACTCGAGTGCTGTTTGAAACTGCAGGACAGAGGAGGAGCTTCTCATTCAAGGGAAGTTGCTCTGTGAAAACACTGCAGAAATGCTGGACAGGACTTTGAATGCATCACTAACACAGAACAGACAATTTGGCTGCAAATGATAACTCTAAAGTTTGTTTTCCCTTTTTCAGAGTCTTCTGCTCCTTCAGAGTTAAGAATGTGGTAAAGAAGTTTAGACAATCATGCTGATAGCTCTAAATCATTGTTATAAATTTAGGAAGGATGCTTTTTTCCTTCAACCCTGAACTAAGGACTGAAGTAAGTGGTTCCAGTGATCCACACAACCTTTTTTGTCTCTTTTCCATGGACACACCTCACAGCTGGGCTCTTGTAATGAGAGCACAAGCCCTACAAGAGTGGCCTCAGTGCTAAACACCTTTGGTACATTCAGGCAATGCTCAGGGACAGGCAACTTCTAAATGAACTTTTGTGTTGCTCTGGCAGATTTCTAATATGTTGGTTTTGCTGTCTTTCCTCTAGTGGAGAATGCAGATGGTCCTTGGATGAGACACTGCTGAGAAATGGTTCTACATCTCCCCGCAGCTGCGTTTCTCAGAGCAGAGAGAACCCCCTCAGACCCCTGTGACATGAGCAAAGCTTCTGGCATTTAAACCCGGGAGGATGTCCCTAACTGACGAGCTGGACAGCCACTTCACCACCCCCTACATGGTGACAGACACGGGCGAGGACAGTGTGTTCAGAATCAGGCCCAACGGCTCCGCCAATGCCACCGAGGACGACGCGTGGGCCGCCAGCTCCACGGAGGACATGATTGCCATCTGCACCATCGGGGCCATCCTGTCGCTCATGTGCGTGGTTGGGGTGACAGGCAACGTCTACACCCTGCTGGTGATGTGCCACTACCTGCGGTCCTCTGCCTCCATGTACATTTACATCATCAACCTGGCACTGGCCGACCTGCTCTACCTCCTCACCATCCCCTTCATCGTCGGCACCTACTTCATTCAGAAGTGGTACTTTGGGGACATTGGCTGCCGCATCCTCTTCAGCCTGGACTTCCTCACCATGCACGCCAGCATCTTCACCCTCACGGTCATGAGCACGGAGCGCTACCTGGCCGTGCTGAAGCCCCTGGACACGGTGAAGAGGTCCAAGAGCTACCGCAAGGCCATTGCTGTGGTGATCTGGCTGGTGTCACTGCTGCTCACCCTGCCCATGCTCATCATGATCCAGCTGGTGCAAAGGGACAACAAAAGCATCTGCCTGCCCACCTGGAGCAAGCTGTCCTACAAAGTCTATCTCAGCATCCTTTTTGGCACCAGCATCGTGGGCCCGGGGGTGGTCATTGGCTACCTGTACATCCGCCTGGCTAAGATTTACTGGGTGTCCCAGACTGCTTCCTTCAAGCAGACCAAGAGGCTGCCCAACCAGAAGGTGCTCTACTTAATCTTCACCATAGTGCTGGTCTTCTGGGCTTGCTTCCTGCCTTTCTGGATATGGCAGCTCCTCTTCCAGTATTATGAATCCTTCCCTTTATCTCCCAAGGTGATGAAGAACATTAATTACTTGACGACCTGCCTGACCTACAGCAACAGCTGCATCAACCCTTTCCTCTACACCCTGCTCACCAAAAACTACCGGGAGTACCTGAAGAACAGGCAGAGGTCCCTCAGCAGCAGCAGTGGGTACTTCCAGAGGAGGAATCGTTTCCAGAGGATTTCAGGGAGGTCCCTGTCCACGAGCAGCCAGCACTGCACAGAGACTTACGTCCTTGCTCACGCTCCTTTGGGAAACAGCAGTGCCTGAAGGTAAAATATATCTCCAAGAACAATCAATACTGACTTCAATGTTGCTTTGATTTAAAGTGTACGTTGTGCAGGCGAAGCCTTGGCAGTGCACACATTTAGTCCAGAGGCTAAATGCCGTGTGTCTGTTCTCATTTCTCCAGTGCCACTGATTTGATGCTAGCAGCACTCAGCTGAACATCTATCTAAATAGCCTTTCACTTTTTATCTTTATATATTATAGTGTACGTCTCCTCAAGTAGCCATCAATAATGAAAGCCTATAACAGGGCCATGATTTTTAATAGTATCAGCTGTCTCACCACATTTAAAATTATGTTACCCCATGAATGGCTGTAGTTTGCTCTTTTTTTCCTTTAGCAGTAGTGCTAAATTTGTAGTTGTATGAGGACTGAAGACAATGAAATAAAGAAAAAGCAGCTGATGTTTGTGACACGCCATGCAGTTTGCATTTGGGGTAGGACTGGACAATGAGGCATATCCAGGATTGCTTGTCCTGGTTTGGGTGATGCTCACACTTATTCTGCACTCCTGTCTACGCACTGGGCTGGATTCTCCAGTCACACAGGTGTGTGCAGTGGAGTTACACCATGGTACTTGTCAGCAGCACAGGCCTCCCATGACAGTGCCACAGGCAGGGAACACTCAGCATCTGCTACTGCACTGACCCCAAACACCCATGAGGAGCAGCATCATCTGTCCTGGACAAGCATTTCCATCCTCTGCCCTCCTCCAAGGAGAAATTAGGAACCTCTGATGTGGCTGTCCTCAGGGCATCTGCTGGCAAACTGCAACACCCAGCCTGAAGCACCAGACCTCCACCTCCAAATCCAGGTGGGACAGAGGGACAGGAGGGGGTTGAGGGGATGTGATTTTCCCCAGGCAAAGCAATGTTCTCTGAAGTGCTTAATACTCCCAGTTATAAAAGTACTGGTTCTTAGGTAGGGAGACAACTTGTTCCTTTCACTGGAAGTGATTTTGCCTTTCTGCTATAAAAACATAGTCCTGCCTACACCAAGAGTACAGTGCCTGTCCTGGCTTTCCCCAATGATAAGGCATGATTAGTATAAATATATAATCTGTGATGTCTGGAACTTCCCCAGTGAGTCTAAAATACCTTCTCTGGGATGCTGCCAGCATCCCTACAGGAGTCCTCTGCTTGCAGCAGCCCTGCTTCCTCATTAGCAGGGATATGAGGATGCAATGCCAACACAGCCAAGGTACAGAATTAGAACCAAATTAATGCTGAGCAGCAAACTCAGAACTGCACTGTGAAATCCCTCTGGTAGTGAGCTCTGTTTGCTTAGACTGAGGCTGAATTCAGAATTTAAACATCTTTTTCCCCTTCAAGGTGTTTAAATGGTCACTTCTCATGGGTGCAGGGCACGATCTGCATGCAGCCTCCCTAGGGAATACACTTGGACAAGTCATTGTCTCTTCCATGCATGGGTTTGAAGTTTGTTATGGATGGGGGAAGATTCACACATGAGAGAGAGCTCTGGTGCATGCAGTTCTGCTGCTGAACTGCTGCAGGAACTGCAAGGGCCTTGCTGTGTTCCCAGCCCCCTCCACACACCCCATCAGCAGTGCTCGTGGGGTCAGGGTGCTTTACCTGCAGCCTGCTTGCTGTGCAGTGTGCCAGCAGCTCCCACTTCAAGATCAGCCCCTTCCTGATCCCAGAGAATTCAAAGAATTCACAAAATGACTAGGTTTTGAAGACACCTTCAAGATCATGGAGTGCAACCCAGCCCCAACAGCTCAACTCAACCCTGGTCCCCAGTGCCACATCCAGGCTTTGTTAAACACACCCAGGGATGGTGACTGCACCACCTCCCCGGGCAGCCACTCCAGAACTTTATCACCCTTTCTGTAAATAACTTTTTCCTCATATCCAACCTATATTTCCCTTGGCACAGTTTGAGACTGTCTCTTGAGGGGCAGGAATACCACGGATTTGGGCATTTCCTGTCCTGGCAGTACTCGTTAGCTTACAGCCCCTCTGGGCTTGGAGGCACATCAGAGAGAGCCCATTAGAGAGAGTGAAGCACCTTCAACCCTCTGAGAGGGAGTGGGAGCCCATGGATGGGGTGAAGAGGTTTGTTATGGAATCACAAAGATTGGAAGGGACCTTCAGGACCAAGTCTAGCCATTACCATTGCCCATTACCATTAACCACCACCACATTACCCATTACCATTGCCCATTACCATTACCCATTACCATTACCCATTACCATCACCAGCACCACCACATTAACCACGTGTCCCCCAGTGGCACATGCACTGCACACATTTTGGTCACTTCCAAGGATCCAAGAATGTTGATTCCACACCTCCTTGGGCAGCCTGTTCCAATGCCTGACCTCCCCTAAATGGAAGAATTTTTCTAATATCCAATCTAATTTCCTGAACCCATTTTCCACTTATATAGTCAGGGTTTTATCGTGAGGCAGAATGTAAAGTTTAGCCTCCTTTTTTTCTTTCAAATGGCAGTTTTAGCTTCTCCTTGCCCAGGAAGAGCCAGACAAGCTCAGGACCAGCAGCTCTCATGGTTGTGAAGGAAAGCTACTGCAGCCTGAGCCTTTAGAAAGCACTGTCCATCTTGCCTAAAATCAGACAGTCAAAGTGACAGGGGGTTTGCAAATCTCAGCTCATCCAGGCCTCACCCACACATGCAGACAGTGCAGAAGCTACTGAAATATATTGGAGCAGATCTGCCTTCAATTATTCAGTCTGATCCCTTCACCCTCAGCAGCTCTGCTCTGATTCTCTTCTCCACACCCTCCCCAAGCAATCCATCTCACAGAAAAGCTTTGCAAAACGCCCTTCTTGGTTCTGGCAGGGCAGGGAGCACCCTGAAAGCAGCCTGAGCAGTGTGTTGAAGGCACAAAGCCATGCCAGATAGCCAGGGAAAGGAGCTGGGGTTCCCTGTTTCCCTGGAAGGACACACAGCCTCAGCCCTTCTCCTTTGAAGGGGCTGGTGATGTGTTTGTCAAATCAGCGCAACAAAGCCAAGAGAAAAGGCACCCCCAGGTCAGGGACTGGCTGTGGGTGATGCTCCTGTCAGTACTGGGTCATCTCTGAATGATGAGATGTTTCATTCAAGCCTTGCCCTTCCCACCCCAGGCTGGAGTTGGTTTTTGCTCCTTCAAACACTCCCATCCTTCAGCACTCAGCTCAGGCAGCAATAAGGGAATAGCATTCCAAGCCTGCAGGTACAAGCAAGGCTCTGAGCACTTCCCAAGCAGCTGAGTCCCAGCCCTGCATCCCAAACTCATCTTGCAGGGCACCAGCCACACCCAGACAACACCAGGGAGCTGTTCTCTGCCTGAAACCAAAGCACAGCTCAGCCCCCAGAGCCTGCTGAATATTGAGGAGCAGGAGCAGCAGAGAGAGCCAAAGAAGGAACTGCCTCCTCCAAAACACAGGTTAATTGTGTGCTTAGTGATAGCTGCAAAATTATTGTGCCCTACTTCTTCCTTCTTGCACAAACCTATCATCAGTCAAAGACCCAAGAGCAGTCCTTTGCATAAATTAAATCTGAAATTGGTGTGAAAGAGGAGTGGCTACAGCTACACACGTGGCTGTGGGCTTGCACAGCTCAGACCTGGCTCTCTTTTTTCATTTTCCCCTGTGGGATAAGGCCAGGAGTTCTGTCATGATCCCAAATCCTTAAGTCCCCCAAATTCTCAGGTGTTTGATGCCCCACAAACTGGAATCACAAGCTGAACTCCAGATAGTAGAAGCCAAAACACCAAATTTGTTGCCCATTTAAGGCAGGAGGCATTAACAATGTCTCAAAACTCTTAGAAAGTGTGGCTGTAAATAGTCCAAAGTGCTCCTACAGCTAGGAAAGGCCAGGTACCCACTCTGGTGGCTGAAACAGGCAGCAAAGTACAGCTGGGGCCAGGCAATGCTCTCAGCTTTGGTCTGTGCCAGCAAAGGATGACGTCTGTGTTTACTCAAATGATTTGCAAATCCACCCAGAAATTTAAGAATCCTTCTGGAAATTCTTTTATTTCTTCTTTTTCCAAATTCTGAATTGTCTCGTTTCAGCCTTTAGGAGGCAAAACAGCACAATTTCTCACTTCAGGAGGAAGCTTTACCCATCAGTTTGCTTACTCTTAATTTTAAAAAGCCTTTTTTTCCATTTTGTTCAGACCACAGGACTTTTGTAAGAGTCCAAGCAGGAAAACAGAGAGCAGCTGTGCATCCCTCTGCCCAAATCCTGCCTGGACAGGGAGGCACCCACCAAACTGCCACCCCTGCCCAATTCCCACTGCCACAGCAACCACAGGCACAAACCTCCCTCCTCACCTGCTGATGGAGCCTGGTTTCAGCTCAGTTTGAGCCCCCTCCTTGCTCCTGCAGCCCAGTGAGTGCAGGGCCACCCTGTCCTGCTGAGTGTCTCACCTCCCCTGCTGGACACAGCCAGTCCAGAGCTCCTCAGCCTCCAAGCCCCAGGAAAACCTCAGCCCAAGCTCCCAGACAGCATCTGGGTGACATTATACACATTTTGGTTCACTTGCAGCTCAAGGCTGGCTGGTTGAGAGGCGGGATTTGTGGAGCACTGTGGCTCTTGGTCAGCAGCTCAGTGATTATCCACAGGGCCAGGGGCTGAGGTCTGGCATGTGTGACAATCTGCAGACTGTCAGGTTGTTGGATTAGACCCTTTTCTGACCCAGATATGGGCAACTGAGAGGTGTTTTAAAAACTTTTATTACATTTTTAGTTTTATATCAAGAGTTAGATGAAACAGATATTATCATTCATGCCATCACAATCAAAAGCAAACTATTTCTTAATTAAAATACATTATAACTGTTTCTTAACCTATCAGTTTTAACCACACCATGTTATAAATACTTTAAAACCAATAATCTAAAATTACTCCTTATAAGTCCTACTACAATAAATCTTTCATAATTATATTTCTCCAAAGTATCTAGTATTATTTACAAGCCCATCTTTTATAACTTATTTCTAATTCCCTTTCTCCCTCCACAATGTCTATGCTATTCTATAACATTTCTAAATCAAGATTTCTTACCTCAAAATTTACACACAAATACATACTATATGAACCTTCAATCAAGCTTTAAAAATTCTCTACAAACTCATTTCCCACATCAGGTCGTTCCTGTCATTTCTCTGGGGTGTGTGCTCAGAAACTTCTCAATTCAGTGGTTGCTTCAGGACATTAAAAGGAGAGGCTGAGCAGAGCTTGGAGAGCGAATCCACCCCTTGGCAGAGCTGCCTAGAAAAAAACATTCCTCCTGCCAGTGCTGCCCCAAGGGCATCTGCTGTGGCTGCCACATTGGGGTGTCTCCAGTGAAATCACCTGCCCCAGTACACTCACACTGCCTGGTCTGGGCATTTTTCTTTCTCAAATTGCACAATTAAATCCTGAGACCTCCACACAG